TTCCCTTAGTTAAGGCAACTCTGCTTGGCAGACACATACATGTGTGTGTTTGGGTTTGTATGTTGTTTTACCATACCAGTTTCTGTGAAAAGGCCTGGGAAAGAGGTGGGCCTTTCTGCATGCCTTTAGCTTGCCCTGCTCTGGGACCTCCACAGGTAGCCTCCTCAGCTGTGAGCACTTTGCCTTCAGCTTTCATGGGTTTTGTCTCTCCCAGAGCAGTGCAGCTACAGGACATAGGTGGAAATGTCCAGGGTGTTAAATCATTCTTGGCCCTGACACAACACCCTTGGCGTGGAGAATGTCAGCATAGACTAACCCCTACTGCAGACTGCCCTCTTGTTTCCTTTGAACCTCGGAGTCCTTGATCTTCCCACTAAAGCCCCATCACTGGTGGCCAGAAGGCAGCCATCAGCTGAGCACTGAGGCATGCTTCATGGATCCAGCCAGATTCCCACCTTATTTCCACCCTGAACTGGGCGCACATGAGAGTGGCTTCTGAAGAAAGGGATTGTGGGGCTGAGCAGCACCACCCTTCCTAGGCTGTGGGGGCTTTCCTCTTGAATGGGGAATGCTAAGAACACTTAGTTGCTCCATGTATCAATGTGCAAACTCTCTCTCCCTCTCACAGCTGTCTGTGAAGGGAACTTCACTTGCAAGGAGAATGAGGTGTGTGTGAGGCCCAATGAATGTCGCTGTCGCCATGGATACTTTGGAGCCAACTGTGACACGAGTGAGTATCCAGCAAAGTTTCATTGTAGCAGCTCTTAACTTTCTTTGCTTGGCTTCCCTAGTACTTTTCCTAGCGCTCTAGGGGCCATCCCAGGTAGCGTAACTAATAAAATATGGAGGTGAAGCTTCTCTGTCCCCCTGTACACATCCTTGGGATGCAACAAAAAAGCCGAGGTGTTAGCTGATGCTCCTTATGGGGACTGGGGGATTCTTGCTTCAGTTATTAGTTGCTATAGTCCTGAAGGGAAATACCCAACTGTTCTTAGGCAATGTTAGGGGTCAACCCATTGTGTTTCTTATTGTTGCTAGAAATATGTCACTAAATCATGGCCCTTTGCTGCAGCAGAACCACATGTGGGTGAGAGCAGGCTGCTCCCAAGTTAGGAAGCTTACTCCAGTGACACCCAGAGCCTTTCTTATTCCTTCTTAACTCTATTATCTCTGTGCAGCCAGTGCTGCTTAGTGGAAAGTGAGCTGTGGTCTGTTCTGGCTCAGACGTCATCACTAGACTTGTTCACTGTGTTCCAGCTGCAGGGATCAGTTCTGCCCTCATTTACATCTGTGCCACCAAAACGCAGCAACAAAATGAGACGTGCTAATGATGTTGTCTATGCTTTTCTTGGCTCTCGTATCCCAGGATAACATGTTACTGGCCCAGAAAACCTACCTTGTTGAATGGAACAAACTCAGTCTGGGCTTGTAGAGGATCTCTGAACACAGCACCACACAGCACTGTTTACAGAGATTAGGACAGCACATTGCACCTCCCTGCATGTCAAGTTGCTTACTGCAGGGGTTATTCCTCACTGTGTGTGTGAGGGGAAAGGATTATGTGGGGTCAGAACCATGGGCCAGGTGGAAGCCTTCATTTGTTTTTTCCCCACCCTGTGCCAACTTTCTCCTGAAGATAGGTCCTATGGCCAAGCTCCAGGCAGGGGGCCACAGGGACTCAGCTGCTGCCTTATCATGGCAGAAGAGGTTTCCCTGTCCATAGAGAGCTTGAGAACTGACTCCATCATTAGGATGGGTGTGTTCAATTTAACAGTGATTCCTGCTGTTATAAAGCTCATCCCACCTGCTGCACTAGTTAGTGTGTGGAAATGAGCATTACAAGGAGCAGAAATTATGCAACTCAGACAGTTGTGCAAGTGGTTCACCTACATTGTGACTAAATTTATTTTGTGATGGGTAGAGTCTGGATTAAATGGCAATTTTGTATTTTTCATGAAAATAACAAAATCAAGTGATTTTCATGAAAACTGTGATTTGCAATGAAATGCCATGATATGGCCACTTGCTGGGGAATTCCCCAGCAAGTGGCCATATCATGGCATTTTGTTGCAACAAGATGGAGCCATGGGGGTGCCTGCACCACTGTGGAGCCCCCAGTCCCTGCCCCAGCCAGTGGTGGCAGCAGCAGCAGTGCATCACCGGGCAGGTCCAGGCAGGCAGTAGGAGGGAAGTACTCAGTGCTGCCCAGCAGGCTCCTGCATGTGGAGCTGAGGGCAGGGGCAGGGGCAGCAGTGTGTGAGGCTGAGGGGTAGCAGCCCCTCATGTTCAAGCGATGTCGCTCGCACTCCTCCCCCCACCTTACAGCCCGTTGTCTGTGGACTGTGATACTATGATGCCACAATGCTGGGTAAGTTTGGCCAGGGTAGGGTCTGTGAGGTGCCAGGCATGCTGTCAGGTGAATTATCCCCCCCTTTCCCTCCTCCGGCAGCAGGTCCCCACCCCCTTCTTCCAGCAGATGGGCTCCATGCCCCGGCGGGGAGATTTGCAGCATCCTGCTTGGAGGCTTTATCCTCTCCACCTCCCTGCTGGACACTCCTGATCCTTGCCCCCAGCCTGCCACTGGGAGCCAGGCTTAGCCAGTAGGATGGCCCTAAACCTGCCCCCTCGGCCAATTAGCAAGGGAGGGGGGCGCCACAACCTGGGAGCAAAAATGGTGGTCCATGCCACGGTCAGGCCGTGATACTAGTGATCTGGGCTCATGATTGAAAACAGGCCCTAGTGATAGGAGATACTGCTAAATGGGAAAGCTAGGAGAGGAGGGGATTAAGAAGCCCTTTATACCTTTAGGTGAAAGGTCGCACAGCTTAGCCAGGTGACCCTTTGAATTGCTGCTCCTGTGAATTACTGCTAAGTCTGGTCCCTTTTCTCTGGAGGATCCAAGCCTATGGCATACCAGGGATCCTTTAGGGGTCCCTACCAAAAAGTGTCCTGTGTGCTTTCTGTCTGGAAGATAACATATTTTTAGGGCAGAGACCACTAGAGAAGCTAGTTCAGCTTCTGTCTTGTCATTTTGTTGGTATCATCATGTCAGGGGAAAAGTAGCAGTAGCTGTCACATAGACAGCTGCTCTTGTTATGGACTGACCATCCTACAAGTTCCTTTGCAATACTCTTGAGTGCAGAACCAAGGTTACAGATCTGTTTAGTAAAGATGAATGAGTGTCCTCCTGATTGTGGCTCCTTTAAATGTGATAAAATTTCCTCCTGGCCCCATATGGCAACCAGCAAAGCCCAGAAGCATGGGAAATACCCACAGTAGAACATAGGCATAGCTATGTTGAGATCATCCTGGAGCAACCTCTTCTTGAATACCTCTAGGGATGGATAGTCCACAACTTCCCTAGGTAGAACATTCCACTGCCTCACTGTCCTAACAGTGAAGTTTTTTCACTGATATCCAATCTAAACTTATTTTGTGCCACTTCAAGCCATTGGTACTTGTTCCTGCAGCAAGAGGGGAAAGTTGTTTTTCCTTGCCTTTATGGGAAATGTCTAACTAGATATTGGGAGGAAATGTTTGTTTTGCAGAATGTCCTCGCCAGTTCTGGGGTCCTGATTGTAAGGAAATGTGCAACTGCTACCCCAACGGCCAATGCGAGGATGTCACAGGCCAGTGCACATGCAATCCCAACCGCTGGGGCCTCAAGTGTGAGAACATTTGCCTCTGTAAGCATGGCAAGTGTGACCAGAAGACAGGCAAGTGCACCTGTGAGCCAAATTGGTGGGGTCTCCAGTGTTCCAGCTCCTGCTACTGCAGCCACAATTCCCAGTGTGACCAGCAGACAGGGAACTGCATCTGTCAGCCAGGCTGGTGGGGTCGTGGCTGTAACAACCAGTGCTCCTGCAACAACTCGCCATGTGAGCAGTTCACCGGGCGCTGCCAGTGCCGTGACCGTACTTTTGGCCCTCGATGTGATCGCTACTGCCAGTGCTATAAGGGAAAGTGTAACCAGGTGGATGGAACGTGTACCTGTGAGCCAGGATACCGGGGCAAATACTGCCGAGAACCCTGCCCAGCTGGCTTCTATGGACAAGGCTGCAGGAGGCGGTAAGGAAAAATGATACATTGGTTTTGATCCCTGATCCAGAGCTTTGATGGAAGACCTTTTTTTTGCATGTGCTTTGTGTTCAAACAATTTGGTCCAGTAACTAAGTCCTGCTTACTTTCGAAGAAGGATAGGGTAGTCAGCCTGAGGGTCAGCAAGCATATTCAGGCTATTTGGGGCAAACTGAAGGCTTCTTCTTGCCTATCCCAAGCTACATGGGCTGCACCTCCCTTACTTATTGCGTTATCTTGCTGTACACGTGTATAGGAAGCACAGAAGGAAAGACTAATAATGGGCAGGCTGATTCCTAGAAGAATAGGAGAGACTACTAGACGCAAGGGATGTGATAGACTTTCTGTGTCATGTTGGGGTTAATTATGAAACACTGTAGAGCAGGGGTAGGCAACGTTTTTGGGCAATGTGCCCAAAACACCTGTAACCTCGACTCGTAAGATGTTGGTGTGCCAGGGGCAGATGGCATGGGAGCCACCAGGGGTCCAATCCTTCTTGTGGCAGTGCAGAGCTGGCCCCTTCCCCCACCCTTCGCCTAGAAGCATGCATGCCAAGCAAAATGCCTTCGCATGCCACACTCTGGCACCCATGTTGGGGGTTGCCTATCTCTGCTGTAGAGCAGTGGTTATCAACCGGTCCATCATGATGGACCAGTAGATCCCGGAGCCTCTTGAAGTCAAGCCTAAGCTGGGGTGTGTGCGCCTCCGCCAGCCCAGCAGGCCAGTCAGAGGGAAGGGGTGGAGGCCTGGGGGGCATGTGCATTGGGGCTTGGAGCTGCCTCCACTGCACACAGAAGGGGGTGGGGAGTGGGGGCAGAGGGAGACACATGCCGGCAGCTGCAGCTCTGAGGTAGGTAGTGGGGCTGGATCAGGGGCAGGACCTGTACAGCTGGCATGGGGAGGGTGAGCACACAGCCTGGGAGGGCATGGCGGGCCCAGGCCCCTGGATCTGTCCATGGGGTGGGGTAGGACAGGCTGCGGGCTGTTCCTTCCAGGCTACTCCTGGTGGGGCTGTGCTCAGGCCAGGTGGCAGTGGTGCTGCATGCAAGGCCACGTAAGGGGGCTGTAGCACCCCCAGTCCCTGCTCCCAGCATTGCAGCTGCCTGCCCCAACCACAGCCTGGGCCAGGCCCAGCGGGAACAGCCCAGCACAGCCTTCCCCTCCCCCTGCCCCTTTCTCCCCCATTCCCCCTGAGGACATGGGGGCCGGGGCCGGGGCTGGCAGGCGTAGGGGAGGGCAGACTGTAGCTGCAGAATGGGAGGCTGCGCCGAGCCACAGACTTGCCTCCTGGGCAGGGCCGGGGGGGGAGAGGGGGTGGATCTTGAAGTCCTTTTAAATTCCAAAAGTGATCTCTGACCTAAAAAGTTTGGAGACCATTGCTGTAGAGGAAGGAAGCACTAGAGGGAAACTTGGATTTGGGGTTTTGTACACAAGAGAGCTTGTGAGCTAAGAAGTTTGTAGGGTAAATGGCCATTGGGTTTGAGTTACAGTGAGTCTAGGAGTGGCCCTAAGTAACTGTATAGACATACCTGACACTTGTGTGGGTGTGTCCAGAGCATTGGAAGGGGTCACCTGCTAATGTTCTGTGATGTTCTCCATGTTGACACTTACAGCTGTGGACAGTGCAAGGGGCTGCAGCCTTGCACAATTGCTGATGGCCGCTGCTTGACATGTGAAGCTGGTTGGAATGGCACCAAATGTGATCAGGCCTGTTCACCAGGGTTCTATGGAGAGGGCTGTGGGAAAATCTGCCCTCCATGCAAAGATGGCCACACCTGCAACCACATCAATGGCAAGTGCTCGCACTGCAATCCTGGATGGATTGGAGATCGGTGAGTTGTGGCAGGGAGCTGTCGCTGAAATTTAGACCTGACCACTATTGGCACGAGTGACCCAGGAGGCTTGTGTCTGTGCCTGGAGTAGATCTTTGATTTCTTTGATTCTCATCCATTGTCTTAAGCATTAGAAATGCTGCCTTCCTCTGAATACCAGTTAAACTGTCCATCAGGAATGGGTCTTTTCTCTCAAAGTATGGTTGAAAGTGTGGGTGCTATCCTTAGGATTCTACCCAGTGGGTCCAAGTTATGCCCAGAGACACTGGCAAAGCTTTGCTGGAGGATCTGACCAGTCATAGCCTGATCTTGCTCTGGGCAAAGTCTAATTGCTTCTTTTACCTGCCTGCTTCTCACATGGGAGGAAGTGAAAAACTTTGCCATCAGCCCTTGAAAGCCACTAACCTTGGGTAAAAAGAGTGGCCTTTTTTTTAAGAGCTAGCAGGCCTAAGCAGTGATTAGCAAATCCATCCAGTTAATTTCCAAACACAGTGAAATCAGTCAAGTTGAGAAGGGGTCTGCTGTCAGGAATACAGTTGGCATGTGGGTGGTTGGAGCTTGACCCTAGAGGGTCATAATCCAGGGGAAACAGGAGCAGACAAGGTCCAAACTAGAGTCTGGAGTCAGGGGATCAGAAAGAGGCAGGTCAGGAGGTAGAGGTCTGTAAGAAACCAAGATGTGGCTTTACCTCAGTAATCACCCACAGGCTAGGGGATCAGGATCCAGCAGAGATCCAGACTGAAGTGACTGGCCAGTGTGATCAGGGCAGGCAGCTGTAACTGTAAGGGACTGGGGCATGGGCAGTTACTGAGCTACAAGCCATGAGCTGGAGAAGTTAAAGCCTACCTGCTACCCTGATTTCTGACAGCTGCAGGGAGCAGGTTATTTCTGTAACAGGCCCTAAAGCAGGGGGTGCTCCCAGGCAGATGGTCTATGGCAGGGTTGCCCAACCTCAGCACTGCTGGCGGTTGCTCATGGTATGGACCACACACTGTGGGTATAGTTCCTTCAGGATCCCCCCCCTCCCCCTGCCAATGGGTTGTGCTGGTGGCAAGCAGACCCTCTACCTCCCAGGTAGCACTGATTGCACATGTTCCCACTCCCCCAGGCCCTTCCCCATCATGTGCCAGTGGACGAAGGGGCTGCAGGGATTCATAGACCACATGTTAACTGCTTGCAGGCCACCAGTTGGGCAGCCCTGGTCTATGGGAAAGAGCTGTGATTGTGAATGCTCTAGCAAGGACACCCTTAGCTGAGAGAGACAGCCTAATTTAGTTGCTGAGTTTATGCTGGGTTTTGTTGCAAGGGATTTTGAAAACAGGGTCTGAACAGCTGCATGGCATTTTCGACCTTCCTACATGAGGCAGCCAGCAGCCTACCCTCAACAAACCAGTTTTTCTCCAAGGCTGTATATGAATCTATAGGGCACAACATCCAAGAAAACAGAACCTTGCCCTTTGGAATGCATGCAGAAGAGGCTGTTGCATCAAAACTGAGCAGAGTGGAAAGTATTCCTGCC